GTATTGACCTCCTGGCTAAAACATTCCTTAGTCATTTCAGAACATCACCAAAGTTCTACCTATCTGATTACTCCAAGACATCAATTATCCATTTTCCTTCCCCCCCCCAGATTCCATTTGTACCCCACTTGCTCCCAGTAATGCCATTTATGATAATTCACTACTGCTACTTATTACTCTATTTTTAATTTTTTTTTTATGTATTTCTGAGAGAGAGAGAGAGAGAGAGAGAGAGAGAGCGTGAACAGGGGAGGGTCAGAGAGAGAGGGAGATACAGAATCTGAAACAGGCTCCAGGCTCTGAGCTAGCTGTCAGCACAGAGCCAAACACGGGTCGAACCCACGAATGTGAGATCATGACCTGAGCCAAAGTTGGGCACTTACCCGACTGAGCCACCCAGGAGCTCCTACGTATTACTCCTAAAAATAACTTTTTTTAATGCCAAGTTCATAAACATCTAAAGGTTTCAGTAGTCTAGGTGTTAAGAGAAATGGTAGTTTATAGACACAGGTAAATATCAACTCTTTTCTGACACTTTGTTGCTTGTGGTCTCTAGACACCAAATAAATTCTTATAACTAATGGTTCACTCTTTCTCAGGGAGGTCATTTTGTTTCAGTTCCTCTCTCTAATCATAGAAATTTAGGTCTAGTCCATAAATTTAAACAGAGAAACTGATACCATCATCAGTATTCACTTCATTTCACTCCTTCCCAATCCCACATTTTTTTCTCCTGAATTCAGAATATAAGAGGAAACGCAAGTGTATGGATGTAGGAGGGAAAGGAGTAAGGAGGGTTCTCTGCATTGATGCCCTTTGAGCTCATCTCCTCTTACCCGGTAATTCTTTTTTTTTTTTTTTAATGTTTTATTTATTTCTAGGAGAGAGAGAGACAGCGTGAACAGGGGAGGGTCAGAGAGAGAGGGAGTCACAGACTGAAACAGGCTCCAGGCTCCGAGCTGGCAGTCAGCACAGAGCCCGACGTGGGGCTCAAACCCACGAACCGCGAGATCATGACCTAAGCGAAAGTCGGACGCTTAACCAACTAAGCCACCCAGGTGCCCTTTACCCGGTAATTCTTAAAGTATGGCCTCCAGATCAGCAGTTAAAGAATCACTTGAGAATTTGTTAAAAATGCATGTTTGCAATCCCCACCGCAGATTTACTGAATTAGAAATTCTAGGGGTGGGAAATAGCTGTTTGTGTTTAAACAGCCCTTTCAGAGATTCTAAAGCAGCTAAAATCTGTTGCAGCCAAAGTGTGAGAATCATTGATCTAGAAAAACCTTCTAAGATAGCCATGCACAGATAAATTATAATTTTTAAAGGTATTTAAGGTGAAGAGCTTTCATTTTTTTTAAATTGTTTTCAGCTGTTCCCTTAATCTCCTTTGAGACCAGACGAATAGGGTCCAAGACTATTTTTGTCATTGTTTCAACTTCATAATTTATTAATTTATATTGATTATATCTTTATCACTTCTTTGAGTCAGAAGTAGAAATGTGTTTAACCGTCACTGTGTGTTTAGAGTGTGGGAATCTGGGTATGGAAAATCTGCTCTTGTGTTCCACATCTGTATCACAATCTTACTGATTTCTGAGGCTTAGGTTTTCACTCATCATTCAAATTAGGCTGCATTATTTCTGCCTTGTTGAAGCAGTTCTGTTTGTACTCTCCTGTCACTTTCTTTATATTTTACCTTCTATTAATAAGGGCTCTTATTTAACCAAAGCAGGGGCCTATGTTTTTATTTAAGTAGATTGGAGATGAGCACAATTTTTGTCAAATTCTTGAAAGGATGTGGTCATTTCCATAATGAGAACACATATAGTGGGGCTCACAGTAATTTCATGATTAAGTTTACTTCAAAGTTGTTACAACTAGCCTACCTACATGACATGTTTCATCCATCTTAGGGAAACCTAACTGGAATTTTTACAGTGTCCATCCTCTCTAACCCATGTCTAACAAAGCATTCAAGATCAAACTCTATGAGGGGCGCCTGGGTGGCTCAGTTGGTTAAGCATCTGACTTCGGCTCAGGTCATGATCTCAAGGTTCGTGGGTTCTAGCCCTGTGTCGGGCTCTGTGCTGACAGCTCAGAGCCTGGAGCCTGTTTCAGATTCTGTGTTTCCCTCTCTCTCTGACCCTCCTCTGCTCATGCTGTCTCACTTTCTCCCTCTCTCTCTCTCAGAAATAAATAAAACATTTAAAAAATAGAATTTAAAAAAAGATCAAATTCCATCATTTTAAAATTAAGTCTATTAATTAATAATAGAACAATCAACTGAGAGTAGGCAACAATGCTATATAGTTTCCCTGTTGATGATGAAATTTAAGAAAAAGGCTTCTAGACAACCAGAATAATTCTAAAAATAAGGGCCAATAAAATTATCATACTTAATAAAAAATGAAATCAATATTATATATGTGAATGTATATTTACCCATATTTATATAATCCTATCCATTTTTAAATGATTATTTTTCTGTTATTTACAAATATACTTGCATTATAAGGCTCAGATTAGAAATTATAAATTAAAAAGTCAATATTTTTAAAAGAATAAAAAGTGAATTTATCAATAAATTAATATAAGATTGAAAGCATATATAAATTTGTGTGGACTGGTTAGAGCTTCTAAGATATTGATATAATGAAGAAGTTTCTCTTCACTTTCTTTTGAAAATGTCACATCTTAAAAGCTTAGTATGTTTTTTCAACTTTGCATTTAGATTCCTTTTGAAATTGATGAAAATTCTGTCCTTTGTACATTTGTAATACATATGCATATCCTGTTTCCTTTCAGTATTTTTAAGCCCTTCCTATAACACAGCTTATGATTTTCTGTTTTTATGAATATTCTAAAATTTTGAATCTGTTTATTGCCCTTCAGTAATGCCCAACAGAACTTACTTTAAGCAGTCAGATAAAAGTCAAGCAAGTGTGAAGAGTCCAAATTATACTTCCTAATGGTGTGAGAAAGTATCTATAAAGCTATTTGAAATGAACTAAAATTCTAAGCCCCGATAACTAGGTCACTTCTGTCATTTACAAATGGTTAATTTTTAGCAAATTCTTATTTAAATAAAGTACTATTTCCCAAAATACTGCCTAAAGACCCTAACTGAAAACTATCAGCTGAGGTGTGCATATTGAAGGAAGAGATGGTTTACTCTATACTTTCAAAATATAATAGTTACATTGTCTGTGTATAGTAGATATAGTTATCTTTTCTTTATAGATCTTCAAATATTTTTCCAGTTATTCCAAGTATCTCTGATATAAAACCATATATATGTTTTATAACTATTTGACCAAATTATTCCTGGGAATTTCTTAAATGTTTATTTAAAACAAAAAACTCATTAACCCCCATTAAAATGTTTCTACTTCTACTTGAAATATAATATTAGATGCCATTAATATTGTAAATAAAATTTAAACTTAAAATAGAATATTGTTTTATTTTTGTTCACATGGCTTTAAAACTCATGTATTTAGTTTAAAAAATAAGAAATTAATTGATCATACCTGCAATGATAATTGTTCTCATATTTTGTACATGTGGCATTATTCTCGCAAGGAAATGACTCATGTGGTGTTTGAGATTGTCTCTTACAAAGCTTGCCTATAAATATTGGTGGACAGGTGTACATGGTGTCCTAGGAAAGATCAGAAAGTATTTTTTACAAAAGTTTTTGGATATTTCAAAGAAAATGAAAGGATTCTTACCTGGAGAGAGATAGAAGCTATTTTCATAAACATGTAGAAGTTCTCTGTGCAACAAGAAAGATAATATTTTCTAAAATGTCACAATAGTGTCTCCCAGCTTATACACTTTTCCTACAACTTGAATTCAACATACCTCTAATTAAGAATTAGGAACTACCCTTGTCTCCCCCTTGAATGTAAACAAGCTGTGGTGCTCTTTCATTTTCAAAGCTATGTTTAAAAGGCTCTATAAGATCCTGGATATCTCAGTTATTAGAGCATCAGACTTTTAAAAGGCCATATAACGTCTGTCTAATTATCTTGGGATACTTGCTTTTGGCACCCAGCCACATTGCTGTGAGGAATCCCAGGCCTTACAGAGAAGTTACATTTAGGGTTCTGGATTGGCAGCTCCAGGTGAGGGCCCAGTTGACAGCCAGTATCAACCACCAAACATGTGAGTTAGGATATCCTGAAGATATTAATATTAATTCATAATACAAATTCAAATATGAATCTTACTAAAATAAAAAGTGAATGGTGGCAATTATTACATTTCCTAGTCTTTATTAAAATGTTAAATTAAAATGTTAAAATGTAACAATATCAAATAAACAAACAATTAAAAAGCAATAACTAAAAATGAAATGTTTACACAATTACATTATTCACAAGGGAGGATTTCAGTGGAAGAGCAAAAAATAAAATTAAAGATTTTTTAAATGTTTATTTATTTTTAAGAGAAAGAGAGTGAGGAAGCATGAGTGGGGGAGAAGGGAACAGGGAGAGAGAGACAATCTTAAGCAGCCTTAATGCTCAGTTCAGAGTACAAACTGTGAGATCATGACCTGAGCCAAAATCAAGAGTCTTATGCTTTAAGCCACTGAGTTATCCAGGTGCCCCTGAAGATTGTTTTTTAAATTTTTTTGTTTGTTTGTTTGTTTGCTCGTTTGTTTGCTCATTTCTTTTTCACTTAAAATTGGAAAAAATGTAAATCAACAAATGAAGTATCTTTTCTGATATTCTCAAGTTTGAAATTTATAATATGTTAATGCAACTTTAATTATATTTGTACTTATCAGATAAAGACTTACATTTACAATATGAACACAGCCAGTTTCATTCTGACATGATATTGATAGACACTCATAGACAACAGTTTCATGGTTTTGATTGAAAAATTCTTCTGGGCATTCACAAATGTAAGCAGAGCTTTTATTTTGGCAAATTTCTCCTTTCCAACAGGACTGAGAAATACAACATTCCATTGACTTCTCACAGAATGGACCTTAAAAGATCACACAGACATACAAAGAAAATATAAGCATAAAATATACTTATAAAGAATATCTTCAAAGTTCATTATAAAAAACAGATTTATGGCAGCATAATTTATGTGTCATAAAACATACCAATTGCAGATAACTTACCCATTGCAAAATAACTTTTGCAAATGTGTAGATATTTGACCATCAGCAGAATCCAGTTTTAGCATCTTTTGATTACCCAAAGAAGAGTTATTTCAACTCCAGCCACAGACAACCATTAATTTTTCTCTCTCTATAGATTTGCTTTTTCTGTGCATTTCATATAAATGGAATGGTACAATATGTTGTCTCTTATGATTGACTTCTTTTGCTTAGGATAAAGTATTTAAGGATTTGTAATGTTATATCATGTATTAATATTTTGTTACTTTCTATAGATAAAAAGTAATTCACAATGTATACCTTTTGTTCATCAGTTGGCACACATTTGGGTTGTTTCTACTTTTTAACATTTTTATTGAGATATAAGAGATATAAGATATAAGAGATATAACATTATATTAGTTTTAAGTTTACAACATAATGATTCAATATACATAAATATTGCAAGATAATGACCACTATAAGTCTAGTTAACATTCATCACTACCCATAGTTAGAGTTATAAAATTTTTCTGTAATGAGAACTTTTAAGATCTATTGCCTTAGCAACTAACTTTTATGGAAAATGAATTCATGCACAAGTATTGGGGTGGATATGTATTTTCACATCTCCTAAACAAATTTCTGGCTGAGGTGTATAGTAAATATATGGGTGACTCTTTCTTTAAAAAAAAAAAAATTTTTTTTTGTGAAAGTGTGTAAGGACTACTATTAACTCCATATTTTCTAGGTCTATATGGTATTCTATTTCTTCTTGATATAATTTTAGTAATGTGTATCTTTCTAGAATTTGTCTATTTATTTTAAGTAGTCTAATTTGTTAGCATAATGGTGTTCATAGTATTTTACTATAATTTTTTTTATTTTGAATGTCATTAATAATGTCCTCACTTTAAACACTTGGTTTTATTGACTTGTGTTTTCCCTTATTTTTTGTTATTCACTCCAGATGAAGATATATTCATGTTGTTTTTCACAAATATCAGTGTTTAGTTTCACTGGTTTTTCTCTCATGTTTTAGTGATTTTTGCTCAAATCCTGTTCCCTTTCTTTTGTGTGGTTCTAATCCAGTTTGCCTTCTTTCTCTGTTTTTTTGAGGTAGAAGCTGAGAATATTGATTTGAGACCAGTTTCTTTTTTAACGTAGAAATTTAGGGGCGCCTGGGTGGCTTAGTCGGTTAAGCGTCCGACTTTCGCTTAGGTCATGATCTCGTGGTTTGTGGGTTCAAGCCCCGCATAGGGCTCTGTGCTGACTGCCGGCTCAGAGCCTGGAGCCTGTTTCAGTCTGTGACTCCCTATCTCTCTGACCCTCCCCTGCTCACGCTCTTTCTCTCTCTCTCTCTCCTAGAAATAAATAAAACATTAAAAAAAAAAATCAGAACAATGATATTCTCTATCAGCATTGTTTTAGCTATATTTAATAAATTTTGACACAGGGGTGTGTATGCATATGTAATTTCTTCTTTGGGTTATTTTAGAAATTTGTTTAATTTCCAAATATTTGCAAATTTCCCAAAAGTTTCTGTTGTCAATTTCTACGTTAATTCTGTTAATATTGGTAAGCATATATTGCATGAATTTTATTTTTTCCCATTTATTGTTTGAATAAGTACAAATCAATGGGTTTTAAAATATTTATTTACAATGTTGTACAGCCATCACCACTTTATAATTCCAGAATATTTCCATCACCCCAAAGAGAACCCCTTTGACTATTGATAACCTTCAGCTGCTCTTTCCTCAATGTTTTTGAATCCACTAATCTAATTTTTGTCTCTATGGAATTTAAATTTTGAATTAAATCTATGAATTTAAAATTCATAAAATCATACATTTTAATTCTTTCAAATTTATTGAAACTTATTTTATGGCTATGTTCATTTGTTTATATATTGTCTACCAACATCAGAGTTGTGCATGTGCATGTTTGGTACTTGATGCAACGTTAGAATGAGTGCCTCCTTTAAGTTTGTGTCCTGGGCAAGTCACTTGCCTCCGTTTTGTACCCACCCGGATAAAATCATGTGAATAGAATTAATAAAGTGATGCTATTAATGCCCATGCCTGGGAGTTCTACTGTAGCTTTTATAAGATCTGGATCACTAAGTGTTTTACTGCACAGTCGAAAAGATTTTGTGACACTATAATTAATCTGTTGTCATTAGGCACATCATTGTGGCAATAAAAAGTAACTACAGTAGTGGCCTGAGAATTCTTGCCATAACTATCAATTCCTAGATTTCAATAACATAACTTACCCTCTCATTCTTGTTGGCTTGAACAAGGCTTTGGGCAATTCACACATGTCAGAGCTGAATGGGTAAATAACTGACTTTCTGCTAAAACAGGCAAATTGACCTCCAGAAATATCTACAGGACATTTTAAAAAGTATTTGTATTCCAAGTTCATAAACCTTGTCAACCAATTCTCTGTATAACTCAAAGCTAACAAGTATGTAACATGTTCATTAGAAAAAGTCTTTATATCAAACCCATTCATTATTGTGTGAACAGGAGCATCAAGAAACATTTAGTATGAAAAATTAAGTTACTTAGCAACAGTTTGTAAGACCAAAAAACCCACTTAGATGATAGATAATGCTGTTAATTCATTCGAAGTTAGGATTGTGTTAAATTCTAAAATACAATAAGATAAAGGCAATATAAAATATTGAGTGACCACACCACTGAAATTATTATACTAAAATAAAGCAACCTCTAATTTCAGGAAATTAGTACTTGAATAATTATTTTGATCACACAAAGAAATGAATGTGTATTTCTCAATGTTGTTATATATTAATGTCAGATTATCTTACTCCATAATTAAATATAGGGAATAATATTTGGAATACTATTTAATTATATTTAAGACATAGATGTCAGCATCATGGTAGGATATTTTATGAATGATAGTACCTTATATGATTGTAATGCTTGGTATTTCCATTGCATGTATATGTGTATTTTTTAAATAAATTTCTTAAAACAAATCTTGGATTTATAAAGGGCCTTAATTATCCAGTGTAGATTTTAATTCTCTTTTAAGTTAAACTGATTTTTGTAGAGGATAAGCAACTTGGCACACACCACATAACTGATTAATTAATGACAAATTAATAATAAAATTTTGTGCATCCCACCTAATCCTATTATAATTCTATGCTCTTTCACCACACTAGATTAGTTCTGTAAAAAAAATAGTAGATGACTCAAATACCAATTGATTTTTAGCATTAATCTAACATTACAACTCTAGTACATTAAGTTGTCCAACTTATATGTGTAATATAAAAAAGACACAAAAATATTTACTTGGCTTCTTCTACAAATAAAATTATGTAGTCTAAATATGAATCATTTGTCATTTATGCAGTCTGCAAATCTTTTACATATGTTTTAATCCTTTTAACAAGGAATCTCTAGATAAAAAATAATTTTGATAACTTTCAGTTTATTTATTTATATTTTTAATGGACTGTGATTTTAGTGTCATGTCTAAGAGCTCTCCTCTAGTCATTATATTCCAAATGTTTTCTTCTAAAAATTGTTATCAAAACAACTAGAGTTTAGTTTTGTTAATAATGTCATAGTATATGACGTAGCATATGGAGTGTAATTTGTTAAGAATATAAGAAGATATATTACATGGGTAATTAGAAAACATTTATAAAGAAAAATAAATTATGTGTGATTATAGTGATTATATTATTGTTGTTCTATAAGTGGATATGTGGTTTCTTCCAAGGTATTAAAATTTCAGACCAAACTGTGATTTCCTAAACATAATTGAATTGTGTTTATGAAGCTTCACCTCTGCTATTATTCAAGAAAGAATCCAAGATTCAGGGAAATTGACTCTTTAATGTGACCTGATATATTGGACTTAATGGAAGTTTTGTGCAAAGTAGATCATGAGTAAGGAAGATGATTTCTCAGAAAAAAATGGATGTTGGAATTGTCATTCATCACAGAAGAATAGCACCGCCAAAAAGAAGATTCATAGAGATGAAAAGAGGCTCTTCTTTTATCGTCAGAAACTTAAAACCTGGGACTCTAATAAAGGAGATAAATTAAGACACTCTTGTTGAAGAGGTATATAAGTGGTCCTCTAACACTAGGTCCTGACCTCAGGGCCAAGGAGATCTTTGTATGAGCTAGTCTAAATGTTGTCCATGATGTGAGTTCTTTGGTCAACTCATCTAATGTCTAAGTAAAAATTTCCCAACTTAACTCCTTTTTCTTATCCTCTTAGTAATGCCATATTGTGAAGTGATAGTGTGAATTTAGCATTGATATAGGAAATTAAGAAGAGATTTTATACAAACTTAATACAAACTAGCATGGGATAGTGGCAAAGAATCATAGTGGGCTGAAATGATCCACCAAATAGTAAAGATGGAGCCAGGGACCAGGTAGCTGATACCTCACGAGTGACAACCATATTGGTATCTGGAACTTGGTGGCAGAGATCGTAAAGCTTCCAGTTAGGCCAAAGGGTACCTGAACTTCATAGCCATCCATATATGTTCTAGCCAATGTTTCATTTTTAAAAATTCTAGGTGTCTAGCCCAAGTCAAAATCTTTGAATGCAAATACACATCCTTCCATCTCTCACTTTTCTTGCACTGGCCACCTGGATGTCACATGTTCTAATGGTATATCTAAAATATCCCAACAGACTGGATTTCTGAGTTGCTACCTGTAAAGGTCTATCCTGCAGAGGCACCAGACATTCAATGGCCTTCATGTGAATAAGAAAAATAATGACCTAAGATGTATTAGTTAATTAAACACAACTCAGCCTAATATGACCATTACAAAATATTTTACTAAATTAGGTTCTGTCATAACATGAG